AATAAATAATGTGCACCCAAGATTGAAAATGGGGTACGAAGCATGTGGTGGCGGGAGGGGGTTGATTGGGAACAGGAACGGTTGAAGAGTCAAAGGCTCTGTTCTTCTTGTCAGGGCGCCTGAAGGATTGGCGAGGGCGCTGTCTCCGAGTTTGCTGACGAGGTTGGAACGTGGAAGACGATTGAGGTAAGTAGCATTGCTTGTCTGGGAATGACTTGTACTGGTGGAAGGGATATTGACAACGCCACTGATAATGTTGAGGCCTGTAGTAGGTCTGAGGATTGTAGGAACATGCTGTTTTCCCTCATCTTTTGTAGGTTGTCAAGGATCTCGTCTGTCTTCTCGTCAAACAGACCAGCGCCATCTAAAGGTAAGGACCTTTCCCCCGTGGGTATACATATACGGTCCATTCCAAGGGATCCAACTCTCCCAGCTGGGTTTCTAGACCATGACTTCCTTGCCCCCGTGCATAGCCACCACCTCTCAGCCAAGTGGCAAATTCTGTCTAGCCGTTGCAATGATTGCTGTCAACTTTTGGTCTTGCTTCACCATTAAACATCAGAGGAAGGAGGAGAAGATTTCTTGATTAAATGAACAAGAATAAATGAACAAAGATAAGAAATTTAAGCATCTTGTGTCTATAAAAGGTCTGGTGTAACATAAGCAAGATGCCAGCAAGCACAAAGTCAGCTAAGCCAGCTTAGCCACAACCGGACCAAGCTGAGTCAAGAAGCTGGGGGAAGAAAAAGATAACTAAGAATTTTAGTTCAAAAAGTAAGTTTTCTGAGATCCTTGTCTTAAATAATAATAATAATAATACAACCGCAAGCTTTGTAGTTAACGCTTCCAATGGAAAGATGTTCCAAAGTGCTAACAGTGCTATCCCCAGCATCTAAAGAAGACTAAGAATCCAAGGATGTGGGCAACTGATGCTTGTCATTTTTGAAAGAAAAAAGCCACTTGACTGAAAAATCTATTGGGGAAATTCTTAGCTGGAAGTTCTGAGAATACTCTTTGTTAAAGGCCTCTGACATAAAAGGCAGAAACATTGCATACATTAATCCCTTTGGATTTTAGCCAATGCAATGACAGTGGGAGGGACAAGATGTTAAGAGTTATTAAACAAATAACTTGCACGTCTCAAGTTCATGCATGAGTATACTGTACTGTAATTTCTGTATTTTGTACCCAAGATTTTTAAGCATATCAGTCCCCATAAATTCTTTGCAAAGAAAAAAAAAGGTATTTGTGTTGAGCCTTAAGCTGGCATAAAACATTTACAAAGACTGCACAGCAACCTGTGTGATTAAGTTAGTGTGAAGATTTGGAGTTTATCGGATAAAATGAGGTTCTAGGAAATGTTTATTGCACAATTTATAAATCGCACTATATGTGGATTTTTTATACTGATCTCATTAATGCAAAGAAAATGCCAACTACTCAAAATAAACAGTGCCTTTACTGTAAATCTTTTTTTCTATTTTCCTACTAGCAACATTTTTTGTTATTGCTCTCTTGTAGCACTTCCTCTCAGTCTCTTGAGAGCCTTACTGAAGAGGTTCTAAATCATTTCCCTTTCAGAATACACTGAGCATCTTTCTTTATCAGCACTTAGTTAAAAATAAAATTCCAATGGAAGCTGACTTATTCTCTACAGAGAGAACACTGTGATTTAAACCACACTTAAACACATCCTTCCTCAGCTCAGAGAACAATCTACCTCTCTTCAAATATTTTCAGATTTTGCTATAGCTAACACTGAGTTGTGGACTCCTGCTGTCTTTAGTAATATAACGTTCATTCCCTCCATAGTGATGTACTTCATGAAACAGAACACCTTAGCATAGTAGAGTGCCTAACAACATGAGTTAGAGATGTCTTTGGCTGAGATCTTCGTTGTCGTTGTTTAGTCATTTAGTCGTGCCCGACTCTTCGTGACCCCATGCACCAGAGCACATCAGGCTCTCCTATCTTCCCCCGCCTCCCGGAGTTGTGTCAAATTCATTCTGGTAGCTTCAATGACATTGTCCAATCATCTCATCCTCTGTCATCCCCTTCTCCTCTCGCCTTCACACTTTCCTAACATCAAGGTCTTTTCCAAGGAGTCTTCACTTCTCATGAGATAGCCAAAGTATTGAAGCCTCAGCTTCAGGATCTGTCCTTCCAGTGAGCACTCAGGGTTGATTTCCTTTAGAATGGATAGGTTTGTTCTCCTTGCAGTCCAGGGGACTCTCAAGAACCTCCTCCAGCACGACAATTCAAAAGCATCAATTCTTCGGCGGTCAGCTTTTTTTATGGTCCAGCTGGCCAGCTTTCAATCTATTGTGCAGCTGAAGTAGGAGCTGACAGTAGGATACAGAAAAAGTTGTACTGGGAAGTGGATGGGCAAGCAGCAAATGGAAGGAAGGACCCTAACATTGTTTAGTCGCTAAGTCGTATCTGACTCTTCGTGACCCCAAGGACCAGAGCAGGCCAGGCCCTCCTGTCTTCCACTGCCTCCCAGAGTTTGGCCAAACTCATTCTGGTAGTTTCGATGCCACTGTCCAACCATCTTGTCCTCTGTCATCCCCTTCTCCTCTTGCCTTCACACTTTCCCAACATCAGGATCTTTCCAGGGAGTCTTCTCATGAGATGGCCAAAGTATTGAAGCCTCAGCTTCAGGATCTGTCCTTCCAGTGAACACTCAGGGTTGATTTCCTTTAGAATGAATAGGTTTGTTCTCCTTGCAGTCCAGGGGACTCTCAAGAACCTCAACCAGCACCACAATTCAAAAGCATCCATTCTTCGGCGGTCAGCTTTTTTTATGGTCCAGCTGGCCAGCTTTCAATCTATTGTGCAGCTGAAGTAGGAGCTGACAGTAGGATACAGAAAAAGTTGTACTGGGAAGTGGATGGGCAAGCAGCAAATGGAAGGAAGGACCCTAACATTGTTTGCAGGCGTCTTTTAATTTCGTGGCTGCTGTCTCCATCTGCAGTGATCATGGAGCCCAAGAAAGTAAAAGGTGTCACTGCCTCCATATCTTCCCCTTCTGTTTCCCAAGAGGTGATGGGCCCAGTGGCCATTATCTTAGTTTTTTTGATGTTGAGCTTCAGACTGTTTTTTGCACTCTCCTCTTTCATCCTCATTACAAGGTTCCTTAATTCCTCCTCACTTTCTGTCATCAGAGTGGTATCATCTGCATATCGGAGGTTGTTGATATTTCTTCTGGCAATCTTGATTCCGGCTTGGGATTCCTCCAGTCC